CCTCCGCGGCGAAAAGCATGTAGCCAGACTTGGCCCTCGCGGGCGCCTCGGAGAGGAGGGATGAGGACGAGGAGCCTTTGGGAACCTCCTCGCCATGCCTGTGCGAGTAAAGCTATACCCACCGACGCGAGGGGAGGAAGAGGGAGGGGGTAGCCTGCAGGAGCGCGGGGGATGAGAAGGCAGAAGGAACGAGGGAGAAGGGAGGCCGAGGAGATTCTGTAACATTGGGAGGAAGGGCGTCTTGGGTGTCCAAAAGATTCCGAGACGGTCCACAGGGGTCTCTGGGGTCCCAGAACGATGCAGGATGGAAAAAAGGAACGGCGAGGGAGGAGGAGGAAGGAGGAAGGAGAGAGGAGGGAGCAGGGATGAAGAAGGATGGATGAGGCCTCCTTCGCCGCTGCCTTCTTCAGCTTCTTCATCTGGCGCCCGTCGATCCAATCCTGCTTGGTCTCGAAGAACTCCTTGTACTGCCGCGTTTGCTTGTACGCCGCCCATTTCGGCCTCCAGATCTCCATCTCCTTCTCGTACTGTTCTGACAGTCTGTCCTTCTCCTCCTGATTAGGATCGGGGCTGACGGAAAGAGGGGACAGCCGAACGGGGGGAAAGCAAATCAGCTTCATGCAGCTGGTTTTCCTGGCGCCTGAGGCGGCAGTGTATCGAGGAAAGTGCCCGATGGCGGGGCCGAAACCAACTGCATGCAGCAGATTTCGCCCCCCCCCCTTCTAAATGCCACCTCTTTCGCCCGCCCCGATCGGACTTCCCAAGATTAGACTGGCATTCGTACCAGGCCAGGCCCCTGCTTTGGCCCAGGATTGTTGCATGAGCCTCTCCTGGCCCACGATGAGCGGCCCTTCAGGCCATTCCTGGGCCCCGGGAGGGACTGGCTGACATCCCTGCTGGTGTGCAATTGACAGCCCTCGATCCTGAGGCACCTTCTCCCACTCCTCCTTGAGGGCTGCCCCCATCGCCGCCAGATCCGTGGCGATCTCTGGCCTCTCGGCTTTTATCCTCGGAATCAAAAAGAGCAATCCACAAATACATGCGCTCCAAGGTCCGCGCGGATCTCACGGGTCGGTACAGGACCCCCCCTCCGCGCATCCCCATTCCCCGGCGCGTGAGCGCTCCGGAGAAGGGGGTGTGTGGGGAGAAGGTGGGGGTGTGTGGGGAGGAGGTGCAGCGCCGGCACCAGAAAATATGCGCGGACCTCAAAAAAAAGATGTTCATGACGTGTGATGTTTTTCCACTATGTTGCCAAGGGTCTCCCTGGCCCATGGTGCTACAGGATCTCCCGGGGCATTCCGGGCACCCCTCACGAGGCCCAGGGGACCCCCATGAGGCTTCAGAACGGCGCGAGAAACTGGGGAAACCTTTTACAGGGAACACCCTTTGCAACCCCTCACCGCCGTGGAAGTGGAACGAAGGAGGGGACAGAGGTGGGAGGCAAGCTACGTGCGCTGGCGCCACGTCTGACGTTCTATCCCTCCCTCCCATCCCTTCCCATTGTGCTGACGCTGTCTCTACCCGCAGACGCGTGTCAGAGCGGACCTGAAACTCGGGGGGGGGGGGCGGGGGGAAAAAGTGTGATGCGAAATCGTGAAAGGGGAACTGCGTCCAAAGACGGAGGAAGAGGAGGAGGAGGAGGAGGAGGAGGAGGTGGCGGGTGAGCAAGAGGACGAGCAGAAAGAAGAGAAGAGGAAGAGGAGCAGGAATGAGGAGGACGGGGGCGAACAGCAGCAGCAGCAGAAACTGGAGTGGAAGGAGCAGGAGGAGCAGGAGGACCAGGGGAAGGCGGAGAAGGGGAAAGGAGGGGGGCGACTACGATCCAGGATGACTCGGATCCAGACAAACGGCCTGCGATGGGGCGAGAGCGCCCTTCGGAACGGCGGGAGCAAAGCCACGATCTTAAAACTAAGCTCACGCTGAACTGAGAGCACCATGCTCGAATGACTGAGAATGTTCGGATTGGCAGAACACATGTGGAAAACCGACTCGGACCCATCCTGTGTGCAAAAGACAATTACACGGAGGGGGGACGCGCTGCTCTGGGCATGTCCTCGGGGGGGGGGCGGAGAGGAGTAGTCATATCGAGAAATTGCACAGAGACGAAGGAGGATCGGGATTGGGATTGGGCCCGTGGGAGTTCAACTGCTGCTGCCACTCGCCCGCAAGCCTCGGCCAACCTTCGCAGTCTAGGGGAACTCTGAGGGGCGAATCGTCCTCTGCGCCAAACCGTCAGATGCAGCCTGGTGCACACGACAGATGCCGCAGAGGATGAGATGTTTGTTTGCTGTAGACCACTGCACACAAGAGCTGCCGAGGCGATCGGGTTGCAGGAAAAAAGCACGCTCAAGGAGTAAGAGTAGGGGAGGTTTGAGCCGCAATAGGCTCCATCACGGTCCACTCAACGATGTTGCACCCGGATCGGTGACAACGGCCTCGGAGGAGGATGGACGGAGAACGGAGGGAGAAATCGAGGAGGTCCTCTCTCTCGCCGCTGCGGAGCACTTCTGGAACCCATTCTTGGGCTTCGGCGGCGCGTTCACGTCCTTCGGCTTGCCGCGCTTCGGCTTCTCGGCCGGCGCGGCCTCGCCGGGGGCTGACGCGGCCTCGCCGGGGGCCGCCGCGGCGGCTTCCGCTGTGGGAGGAGGGTCCTGCGGCGGAGGGCCGCCCTCCTCCTCCTCCTCCTCCTCCTCCTCCTCCTCCTCCTCGTCCCCTCCTCCTCCTCTCCTCCTCCTCCTCCTCCTCCTCCTCCTCCTACTACTACTACTACTACTACTACTACTACTGCTACTTACTAACTACTATACTTACTTTACGAATATCTAGTACTAGTACTTTTTGAAGACTTACTACTACTACTACTACTACTACTACTACTACTACTAATACTAC